TGAAGCCTCATGTGGAGAATTTTGAGCATTACTTTGTTAGCATTTGAAATGAGTGCAGTTGTGTGGTAGTTTGAACATTCTTTGGCATTGCCCCTCTTTGGGATTAGAATGAAAACTGACCTTTTCCAGTCCTGTGGCCTTTGCTAAGTTTTCCAAATTTGCTGGCATATTGAGTGCAGCACTTTAACAGTATCATCTTTTTTTAAAATTTATTATTATTATTATTATTTATTAGTTGGAGGCTAATTACTTTACAATATTGTAGTGGTTTTTGTCATACATTGACATGAATCAGCCATGGATTTACATGTATTCCCCATCCCGATCCCCCCTCCCACCTCCCTCTCCACCCGATCCCTCTGGGTCTTCCCAGTGCACCAGGTCCGAGCATTTGTCTCATGCATCCAACCTGGGCTGGTGATCTAACAGCGTCATCTTTTAGGAGAAAGGAGGAGCAACCCCACAAAGACTGAACCAAGCTTACCTGTGAGTGTTTTGGAGTCTCTGGTGGAGGTGCGGGTCAACAGCGGCCTGCAGTGGGGTCGGGGCGCTGACAACAGCAGTCCTGGGAGGCGCAGCATGCTGGCCTAAGTCCTTTTGCAGAAGGTTGCCATCTGCAACCTTGGCTTGGTTGCCTCAAGCCAAACTACAGGGAAGGAACATAGCCCCACCCATCAGCAGAAAATTGGATTAAAGATTTAATGAGCATGACCTTGCCCACAGAGCAAGACCCAGTCTTCCCAGCAGCCAGTCCCTCCCATCAGGAAGCTTGCACAAGCCTTCTATCCTCATCCACCAAAGGGCAGACAGCATGAAAACCACAATCACAGAAAACTAACCAAAATGATCACATGGACCACAGCCTTGTGTAAGTCAATGAAACTATGAGCCATGCAGTGTGGGGCCACCCGAGATGGATGGGTCATGGTGGAGAGTTCTGACAAAACATGGTCCACTGGAGAAGGGAATGGCAAACCACTTCAGCATTCTTGCCTTGAGAACCCCATGAACAATATGACAAGCCACAAAGAAAGATCCTATACAAAGATACAAAGAGAATGTATCCACTGGGAGGGCATATTTGCAAACTTCATATTCACCAAAGGATTAATATCTAGAATATAGAACACTCAAAATTCAACTTTAAAAACCAGACAATCCAATTAGAAAATGGGAAAAAGATTTGCAGAACCGCTTCTCTGAAGAGGACACAGAGGCAGAGAAGCACACGAGAAGATGCTAAACATCACTAGCCTGGCTGCTGTCTGTTGCTCAGTCGCTCAGGCGTGTCTGACTCATTTTTTTTTTCCATTTATTTTTATTAGTTGGAGGCTAATTACTTTACATGTCTGACTCTTTATGACCCCACGGACTGCAGCACGCCAGGCTTCTCTGTCCTTCACTACACCCCAGAGTGTCCTCAAACTCATGTCCATTGAGTTGGTGATGCCGTCCAACCACCTCATCCTCTGTTGCCCCTTTCTGCTTCTGCCTTCAGTCTTTCCCAGCATCAGGGTCTTTTCTAATGATGGGCTTTTTGCATCAAATGGTCAAAGTATTGGAGCTTCAGCTTCAGACCTTCCAATGAATATTCATGACTGAGGTCCTTTAGGATGGATTGGTTTGATCTCCTGGTAGTCCAAGGGACTCTCAAGAGTCTTCTCCAACCACAGTTCAGAAGCATCAATTCTTTGCTGCTCAGCCTTCTTTATGGTATAACTCTCACATCCATACGTGACTACTGGAAACACTATAGCTTTGACTATATGGACCTTTGTTGGCAAAGTGATGTCTCTGCTTTTTAATACACTGTCTAGGTTTGTCATAGCTTTTCCTCCAGAGGGAAATGCAAATTAAAACCATACTTGTCAGCCTGGCTAAGAAAACCACCACACCAGATGCTGGTGAAGCTGTAGAGAAAGTGGCTCACTCATTCATTGCTAGTGGGAATGAAAAATAATACAATTACTTTGATAACACTTTATTGCTGAGTTTTTAAAAATCTAAATATGTAACTGCTATTTAATGCAGAAATTGCACTCAGGCATTTATTTATCCCATAGAAATGAGAACAGATGTTCACACCAAAGCCTGTGTACATGTCTTCATCACAATGGATGGACACGCTATGGTCCAGCAAACCCCCGGCATCTCACTCGGCAGTGAAAAGCAGGGAGCACAGAACAGTCTGAGTGAATCACCAGAGAATTATGCGGAGTGAAAACAGCCAGCCCGCAAAGGTTGTGTACTATCCTGGAAACAACAGAATCACAGAACTGGAGGACGGATTTGTGGTTGTCAGGGGTTAAGTAGGTGGCAGGAGTGAGAGCAAAGGCAAGGGCAGGCTCCTGGAGGAGCTGGGGATGCTGTGTGTCTCGGCAGGCATTCTGTGAGATGTCACCCCTCAGGGAGGCTGGGAAACGATGCCTGGAATCTTTCTGGATTATCTCTTAGAGCTTCATGAGAATCTACAATTATCTCAAAATAAGCTTAGTTGAAAACAAAAAACACCTCATAGGGCTTCCCTGGTAGCTCAGCGGTAAAGTATCTGCCTGCCAACGCAGGAGACACAGGTTTGATCCCCGATCCGGGAAGATCCCGCATGCTGTGGAGCAACTAAGCCCGTGCTCCACGGCTGCCGAGCCTGTGTTCTGGACCGGGACCCACAGCCACTGAGCTCACACGCCTCAGCCACTGAAGCCCGTGTGCCCTAGAGCCCGTGCTCTGCAACAAGAGAAGCCACTGCAGGGAGAAGCCCTCTCATCCCAACGAGAGAACAGCTCCTGCTGCAGCTGGAGAGACATTATTCTCTCGGGCTCCAAAATCTCCTTTCAGGACTTGAAATAGCTCAGCTGAAATTCCATCACCTCCATAGCTTTGTTCGTAGTGATGCGAACACCATCCTGGTTTATCTGTGTCATTAAGATTTTTTTTTTTTATATAGTTCTTCTGTGGTTTCTTGCCACCTCTTCTGAATATCTTCTCTTCTGTTAGGTCCATACCATTTTTGTCCTTTACTGTGCCCATTTTTGAAAAGGCAAAAAGATAAGACACCAAATTATTTACCAGTATTTTCTCAAGGTGAGAGTGGCAACTTTTGATTCATTTCTTCTCCCATTAAAAAAAAACGTGTTGGCCTCTCCTTTGGGGTGGGCCTGCCCCCGCCCTCATGCCTCGGAGGGTGTACAATCATTTATTTACGCGATAAAACTCTTGAGCTGTTAAAAAAAAAACTGTTACTATCCGTGTGACAAAGGGCTTCCCAGGTGGTGCGAACAGTAAAGAGTCCACCTGCCAATGCAAGAGCCATAAGAGACGCGAGTTCGATCCCCGGGTTGGGAAGATCCCCTGGAAGAGGGCATGGCAATCTACTCCAGGGCTTTTGCCTGGAGAATCCCAGAGGAGCCTGGTGGGCTACAATCCACGGGGTCAACAGGAGTCGGACATGACTGAAGCCACTTAGCGCGCATGCACACACGTGTATTTACCACACTAACCACGTCGAAGTGAGCAGCTCAGAGGCAGAAAGGGACCCACATCACTGTGCGTCTCGCCCGCCGTCCACCTGCAGAGTCTCAGTCTCCTGGTGAGCCCTCACTGCCCTCCCCCACGGCCCCAGCCCCTGGCCACTTCCTGTGTCTGTGGATGCGACCCCTCCAGGGCCCTCCTGTGGGGGGAGTCAGACAGCATCTGTGCTCTGCGACTGGCTCATCTCACCGAGCACGGTGTCCTGCAGGCTCCTCCTGTGCCGGATGTCCTTCCTGCTGAAGGCTGAGTGATGCCCACCGTGTGGACAGAGCTCCGCTCATGTCCCCCTCATCCGTCCGTGGGCCATGCGTCCCGGACCTGCTGTGAGCACAGGCTACTCATATCTCGCTGAAACCCCGCCCTCACGTCTTTTGGGGATACGGCCAGAGGTGGTCTGGTTTACACTGTGAAAAACACTTTGAAAATGTGCTGATGTGTTCACCCCCCCCCACAACTGCTGACTCCTTTGTCCTGGGCTCAGCAGCTGAGCTGGACAGCTGACCCTCAGCAGGCCCCCGGTGTCACAGTCAGAGCCGTTCGGACGGCCTCGCACTTGGCCGTGTCCTCCTGTCTTCCCGGAGGCTGACGGGGCGGTGATGGGGACGCCTCCTGACCTGTGCAGGCGAACGGCCTGGCAGCCCCCTGCCTGCGGACAGCGGTGCCCGGGGAGGGGCTGGCACAGAGCTCTGAGGGCAGAGGAGGGGCTTCTTCGAGGGTCAGCTGCTCCCTGGCCCCTGGCTGCCGAGGGAGGCAGGTGCCTCCTTGGAACAGTCTCAGTGCTGGGAGGTGGGAGTTGACTGCTGAGTGGGCCTGGGGCGCTGCGGAGGGAGGTGGGGAGGGGCTGAGGACTCTGGGCTTCCTGGGGCAGGCGGATTGAGGAGGCGGGCAGGGCTGAGAAGCTGGGCTGGGCCTGGGGAGGTAAGCGACCCCAGGGCCCGCACTGCCCTCCTAGGCCCGGTCGGAGCGGGGCCTGGCCACGGGGCGCAGACGGGCAGGGGCATCGGGGTCAGGGCCGGCCAGGGCTGCGGGTCGGGGCTCGGGGTTGCAGCTTCCAGGCCAGCTCTCGGGAGGAATTCTGTTTGCCCAGTGACTCAGATGAACAAACACGTGCAGAAAGGTCCAAATCAGTGCAGCCCCGCCATGAAACCAAATTTACTCTCCTTCCGCCCCGCGGGCATCTCTTGGTGTCTCTGCCTCCCGGGCCCCAGGGCCGGGCAGGAGGGTGAGGGCACCTTCCTCCTTATCAAGGAAGTCTCCGGGCTGGGAGAAACTCGGGGCTACCCTGCCCTTTCTGTCAACAGTGCGATAAGTCCTGTAAGCGATCAGAGGTTCCCAGCACCTCCTGCCAAGGTGGTGCCCACTTCCTGTTCGCAGGCTCGAGGGGCTCCGTCTGCCTTTGTCCTGGGGCCATCCCCTGCCATGCGGGAGACATGGCAACCTGTCCCCAGACTGCTGGTTCCCCACCTGTGACATCAGGGCCCAGAGTGGCCCGTCTGCTGCATGGCCAGGGCCGCACCCTTGGCCCACAGGGTCCCCTGAGTCAGGCGCGGCTGCGGGTCCCGGATGCTGAGAATCTGGGTCAAGAGTTCAGATGCGGCCAGGCGAGGAAGGCGCGGCCCTTTTGACTGTCACAGTGCAATCAGGCCTGCGTCGCGCCGTGACTCCAGGCGTGCTAGAATGCACACAATCAGAGGGGTTACACCGCGCGGCATCAGGAAGTCTCCTGGGGGGACCCCGCGAGGGTGGTGGGGACTCTTCTGGGAGCCGGATGCAGCTCAGGAGACGCTCCCCTGAAGTCCATTCTGTCCTGGGGGCAGCTCGGCCTGTGATCACTGATTTCCAGACAAGGCCCAGGGAGGGTGATGTGCTGGCCGGGGGCACACAGCTGACGGATGTCGGGGCCAGGATGCACCTTCTCCCAGGGTCTGGAGCCCCTGGCCCTGGGTTCAGACCCTAGTTGGCCCCCTGAGGTCAGGTGCTTCCCACCAGTGTCACCCAGAAGTGGGGACACCCCGAGACCCTACCTCTCAGGAGTTGTTGGTGTCCTATGGACTGGATGACACGGTGAAGCCGCCAACAAGTGCACCTGGCCCACCAGGGCCCCTGTGACTGTGTCGGAGCAGCTGGCCCTGTACTCAGGGCGTCCGAGATGGGGTTGGCAGAGTGCCCGCTGGGGAGACAGCCGGCCACTCCACTGTCTGGGCAGAAAACAGGAGCTGCAGCCGACTGTCTGCTTTACCATCTGTGGCTGGTCCAGGCCTGTCCTTTTCTTCAGGGGGTGGGGCTGGAGGGACCTCGCATTTGGGGTGCAGGCGTCCACCTCTGGGTTGGAGGTGCGCCCCAGGTGTGAGAATGGAAGTCAGGTCTCCCCACTGCGGCCCCTTGAGGGCACTGGGCTTGCGGAGGGTGGCCTGGCTCCCAGCAGCCTAGACACTCTGCTGTGCTCACCTCTTTGGCCTGGAGGGGCAGAGGCCAAGCCCCGAGTCCCACGTGGGAAGGGCCGTGAAGCTGCCCTCTTTTGCTGCCCCGAAGCTGCACCTGCGCCCCCGGACAGAGCATCCACCTTGGTGGGGAGTAGGGAGAGTCGGGGCTGAGGGCAGCTGACAGGACCGCTTGGCGCCGCAGGTCCCACAGCTCCTGCAGAGTGAACCCCAGGCGCCTGCGCTGGGACCGCGGCCGCCCCCCAGAACTGGGAGGGGTCCCGGCACTGGGCAGGCAGTGCTGAAGCCGGGGTCCCCTGCCTTGGCCACTTCTGTCAGGAACAGCTGGGCTGGGCTGGGCCAGGCCAAAGTCGAGATCAGGGTCGGGATCAGGCAGCCCCGGGTCCAGAGGGGTGAACAGGTGAGCTGTGTGTCTGTCCGAGGAGAGAGCTGTGAGAATCATGCTGCCCCCGGGTGCCCGGGGTGCTGCCGCCCCAGGAGGAAAGCGCTGGGCCGGTTCCCTGCCCCCGCTCCTGCGGGCTGCTGGCCCACCCATAGGGCCGGCTCCCTGCCCCTGCTCCTGCGGGCTCCTGGCCCACGGTGGGGCCCGGTTCTCGGCGGGCGGGCATTTCCCCATCATCTGAGTCAGTCACTTGTACGTGCAGGGCTGTCTGATGCTCGCCTCCCGTCCCAAATCAGAGCTGCCGGAGCGAGTCAGCAGCCTGCATCCTGGGCACGTCCCGCCACGGTCCTCTTGTTGCCATGGCAAGCCGTGGGAGCTCCTGTCAGGGCCGGATCCCAGCCCTCCATCCACACAAGCACTGCCCTGCTGGACCCCAGTTGACCTACAGTTTATCAGGTCCAGGTGGGGGCTGGCAACTGCCCGAGGGCAGCTGACCCTGAGGAAGCAAGGCCTCTGGGGCCACTGCCCTGTGCCAGCCATGTCCCCAGCCATAGTGCCCTACTTGAGCCCTGGACGCGAGGCCCTGCTCCTGCCATGGACTCTGTCCCGAGGGGGACACTGAGGCGGCCGACACATCCAGCTGGGCTCCTTCCCCTGTGTGGCCTCTCGCTGAGCATGGAGGCCCTGAGAGGAGGACGCTGGAGTTTAAGGGGTCCCCCTCCAGTACCCACCCTTCCAGAGCCCCCAGTGGGCACGGGGGGAGGTCCCAGGGAAGAAGGCCCCTGGGTTCCTGGCTGGGTCACTGGGCTACTCTGGCCCCGAAGCCAGGCCCTCTCCCCACGGGGTGCTTCTTATGGGGTTCCCCTGCAAGGCAGGCTGACCCTGGGGTGGGGCATATGCCAGTGGCTCAGACGGGGCAGGGGACATGGGGGGCCCAGGCCTGTGCCCCATGCCAGCGGCGTGGATGCCGGTTGTCCTGCTGCCTCCCGGCCTGCCTGCTGTCACGAGGAGGGTGGGCTCACATCACTGCAGCCTCCTGCCTCCTTCCCTGACCTGCGCTCCGGCCCCCCGAGGTCGACCCTCCAATCTCCCCCAAGGCATGATTGCCCACGTCCGATATCCCAAACACAAAAGCCACAGCCCTTTGGAGCCAGACATGACCCTTGGACTGTCCCCTAGGGACCCACCCTGCTCAGCACCAGGCTGCCTGTGGTCCAGCTCTAGAGCCTGGCAGCTGCGCGGGGATGGTGGGGCTGCGAGGTGGCAGCCGGTGTGCGGGGCCGCTCCCACTGCACCTCTCAGCCGGGCCTGTGTGAGCGGCCACCAGCGCTCATCACTCACACTCACTCACTCATTCATTCATGCATGCACTCATTCATTCACTCACTCATTCATTCATTCACTCACTCAATCATTCACTCACTCACTCATTCACATTCACTCACTCATTTATTCACGCATGCACCCATTCATTCACACATGCACTCACTCATTCACATTCACTCACTCATTCATTCAATCATTCATTCACGCACTCACTCATCAGTCATTCATTCACATTCACTCACTCATACTCACTCATTCACTTATTCACTCATCACTCACCCAGATTCACTCACTCACTCATTCACTTATTCACCCACTCATTTTTTTCATTCACACAGTCATTCACCCACTCATTCACTCATTCACCCACTCATTCATTCACTTGCTCACTCACTCATCAGTCATTCATTCACATTCATTCACTCATACACACTCATTCACTTATTCACTCATCACTCACCCAGATTCACTCACTCACTCATTCACTTATTCACCCACTCATTCTTTCATTCACTCACACACTCATTCATTCACTCACTCACCATGCCCCCCCACACTCCTGTTCTGTGTGAGGTGTTCTATCTACCAGATACCAGGGTAAATCAGGGGCTTGAGGAGGGAAAGGCTCCGGGACTGAAAGCTAGGTGCCCGTAAGGAGCTCAGGACAGGCCCCGAGAGCCAAAGCAGAAGCTCCAGTCAGCTCCATGGAGCCCCTGAGCCAGGCCTGCCTCAGCATAAGGGACCTGCCCTGGGGAGAACCTCCTGGCCGGCCCCCTGTGGCAGTGGGGCCACCAGTTATGGCACGTGCTGTGTGTGTGGCCACCTGGGACAGATCCAGCCCCAGTGCCCAGCACCCTGAGTGGGTGACTGTCCCCAGCGTGCTTCCTCAGGCAGAGCCCATCGTGGCCAAGGCCACCAGGCCACTTTCTGGGCTGGTTCACTCGGCATCGCCCCTGCCCCTCAAGGGCACAGGCCCGCGTGGGAGGAGCTGGCCCGCGGCTGCTCACCGCCCGCTGGGAACACAGCCGGCCTCCCAGGCAGCGCTGGTCGGGGGGCAGTGTCCTGCCACCAGGAGTGCCACCCCTGAGCCCCTCTGCAGCGAGGGTGGGGCCGGCCCAGCAGTCCCGGCTGCAGGAAGGATGGCAGTGGCCTCCAGGCACAGGAGCTCAAGGGCTGGCCTCAAGGAGCCTGCCCAGCCAAGTTTCAGAGCTGGGGGCACAGCAAGAGGACGCCTGAGCCAGGGCTGGGGGACCCCAGGAATCATGTCCCAGCTGCAGACACACCCGTCTCTGCTGTCTTCAGCCACTGCCCATCCCAAAGCCAGGGACCACTGTTTACCTGGGCGAGGGGAATCGCAGGCCTGGCCCCACCCTCCCACGTGAGCCCCGTGGGGCCGCAGCCAGCGCCAGGACTACAAAAGGCTCCTGCTGGCTCAGAGCGTCCTCAGAGGCTGCCCTGGGACTTTCTCCCACACGCCATGGGTGTTGGCCGCAGGAGGCTGGCCCCGCTCTGGGCCCTGGCCCTCACTCTGGCCTGCGCCCAGCACACAGGTAAGGTGCCTGCTGGCATCCCCAGGCCGGCCGTGACCGGAGCCTGGAGCCCCTGCCACCCTCAAGTCCTAGGGTGGCCCAGGTGCCCCACGAGCAGCAAGCAGCTCGGAGGCCTTGCCCGGGACTCTGAGAAGCTGAGGGTGTCTGTGGGCCGCTTTTCCTGCTCAGTCCCTACTCCAGGAGATTGTGGGGTCGGGGAGGCGCTTTTGGGGCTGCAGGGTCCAGGTGGGGGTCGGGGAGGGGTCAGCCGGGCATCTGTGAGCTCCCGGCTGCAGGGTGCCATCCTCAGAGGCCTCTCCCACCAGGGCTGGCATCTCCCCGTCTGCTTCCCAGGGCACAGCTGGGCCCCGGATGTGTGCAGGGGCTGTTGGGCCCCCAGCACTCGGCAGCCCGGGGACCATACCGTGTGGCTGAGGTGCCCCTGCCCCAGGCGGCTCATGCACCCTGGTGCCCAGCCTCCTGCGGCCGCCCGCCTGCCCAGGAACCAGGAGCCTGCCTGCAGTGCTCAGGCTGAGGCTGCCCTGCTGGACACACCTCAGAGGCAAGGCCAGGTTCTTGGGGCGGCCTCTGGACCTACTCCGCCAATCCCCGGGCACTGCCTGCCCGGCCTCCACAGAGCTGAGCTGAGCTGAGCTGTGTGATGGCGCTGAGCACCTCGTTTCCGGTGCAGCTCTGTCTGCGCTCCTGGTCCCAGATCCCCAGCTGCCGTTGGAGGGGCTGAGCCAGCACGGCCTCAGGGTCTGCCCCTCGGATGGGCTGCTCCTGGCGGGTGCTCCCGCCTGTTCCCCCGCGTCCTGAGCAGGGAACGAGGGCCTGGCACCTGGGGGACGCTTGGTGGGCATGACTGCACCGTGCTCCAAGGAAGGGCCCCTGGAGACGCCGGCTCAGGGCGGGGAGGGGGGCTCGTGGAGAGCATGGTTGAAGGCGCTGTGGCCCAGCGGAGGGCCTGGGGTGACTCAGAAGAGGCCCTCCTAGGCCCCCCGTCCACGTGGAGGACCCCACCTTCCAGGCCCGCCCCCTTCCGTTGGTGCTTCTTTTGGGGCCAGCTCCAGCCCAGCGCCCACTCCTCTTCCCGCAGGCCTGGCCCAGAACAGCACTGCAGAGCTCAGCTTCAAGCACCCAGACCGCCCTCCTGCCCCTCAGGGGCCTGGTGGTGAGTGGACCCCCCACCTGTCGGAGCCCACGTCCTGCCCCGGGGGGCCGCTCAGGCTGCTCACCACCTCCCGGTCTCATGGCGAGGCCACTGGCCACAGAGCAAGGGCAGGCTCAGGGACAGGCCCGGCCGTCTCGGTCTGCTTGTCCCCGGACGGGGCTCCCAGGGAAGGAGCACCTGGGCCTGAGCTCAGCATGGAAGCATAGTTCGCATCCATGGGTGTTGATTCAGGCATTTTTGAGATTCCGGGAGCCGGGAACTCCCAGGTGCAAACAATATCAGGGCCACGTGGGCATGACAGTTGACCTCTGCTGAGTCTCCGCTGGCCCTGGTGCTCACATAGCAGGGAGGTCGCTCAAGGGCAGAGTCCAGAGCTCGGCAGCGGGGGCCGGGGGGGGGGCCCTGCCGCGGCGGAAGCCCTCCTGGGGGTCGAGCTGGGGGTGGGTGGTGAGGGTGAGGGCTCTGTGTCAGCTGCCCATTCCCTCAGGCACCGCCCTCCGTGGAGTGACCGTCCACCCGCCTCTGAGGACCACCCCTGTGGTGCGAGGTGAGACTGCGGGGCTGGGTCGGGGACGGGTGGCCGTGTCCGCGGACACCTGGGTCTCCAGAGCAGGAGGTGGCGGGAGGGTGCGCGGCTCCCCGCGGGGATGAGCGCCCGGCTCTCGGAATGTCCGGGCCGCATCGCTGGTGTCCCTCGGAAACGGCCCGCTCTGCTTGACCGCAGCCCTAAACGCGGCCCACGGTGGGCGAGTGTGCAGCACGTGGGGCGACTTCCACTATAAGACCTTTGATGGCGACGTCTTCCGCTTCCCCGGGCTGTGCAACTATGTCTTCTCCGCGCACTGCGGCTCCGCCTACGAGGACTTCAACCTGCAGCTCCGCCGCAGCCCCGGGCCCAACAGCACCGTGCCCAGCATGGTCACCATGAAGCTGGACGGCCTGGTTGTCAGGCTGGCCAAGGGCTCCGTCCTGGTCAACAGCCGCCCGTGAGTCTGGGCCGGGATGGCACACGTGCTCCTGGGGCCACGGCAGGGTGGCTCCAGGCCCCCAGGCCCCCGCGCTTGGCCCCCGTCTCCCCTGGGGGCTCACGCCCCTGCGCTCGGCCCCCGTCTCCCCTGGGGACTCAGCCCCGCGCTTGGCCCCCGTCTCCCCGGGGGACTCAGGCCCCCGCGCTCGGTCCCCGTCTCCCCTGGGGACTCAGGCCCCCACGCTCGGCCCCCGTCTCCCCTGGGGACTCAGGCCCCCGCGCTCGGCCCCCGTCTCTCCTGGGCCAGCCCCCGTCTACCCTGGGGACTCAGGCCCCGAGCTCAGCCCCCGTCTCTCCTGGGGACTCAGGCCCCCACGCTCGGCCCCCGTCTCTCCTGGGGACTCAGGCCCCCACGCTCGGCCCCTGTCTTTCCTGGGCTGGCCCCCATCTCCCCTGGGGACTCAGGCCCCCGCGCTCGGCCCCCGTCTCTCCTGGGGACTCAGGCCCCCACGCTCGGCCCCCGTCTCTCCTGGGGACTCAGGCCCCCACGCTCGGCCCCTGTCTTTCCTGGGCTGGCCCCCATCTCCCCTGGGGACTCAGGCCCCCGCGCTCGGCCCCCGTCTCTCCTGGGGACTCAGGCCCCCACGCTAGGCCCCCGTCTCTGCTGGGCTGGCCCCCGTCTCCCCTGGGGGCTCACGCCCCTGCGCTCGGCCCCCGTCTCCCCTGGGCCGGCCCCCGTCTCCCCTGGGGACTCAGCCCCGCGCTTGGCCCCCGTCTCCCCGGGGGACTTAGGCCCCCGCGCTCGGTCCCCGTCTCCCCTGGGGACTCAGGCCCCTGCGCTCGGCCCCCGTCTCTCCTGGGCCAGCCCCCGTCTCTCCTGGGGACTCAGGCCCCCGCGCTCGGCCCCTGTCTCCCCTGGGCCGGCCCCCGTCTCCCCTGGGGACTCGGGCCCCCGCGCTGCCCCGGACACGGCCCCCGCCTCGTGGCTGATGCGCGAGCTCCGCGCTTGGGTCTTGGCGGCTTTGTCGGGACGCGACCTGAGGGGCCTCCCCGCCTGTCCTGACCTCTGCTGCCTGGGCCCTCGGGCCCCACGTGCCTCAGCCAGGCCCTCTCGCCGCAGAATTCAGCTGCCCTTCAGCCAGTCCGGGGTCCTCATTGAGCAGAGCAACGGCAACCTGAGGGTGGTGGCCAAGCTGGGCCTGGTCTTCATGTGGAACCAGGACGACAGCCTCCTGGTGAGGCCGGGGGCGGGGCCGGGGCGGAGCCGGGGCGGGGCCGGGGCGGAGCCAGGGGCGGGGCCGGGGTCCTGGCACATACCTCTGGCCCGACAGCCCCCCAGGGAGGGAAGAAGGCGCTCTGGGTGAAGGAGGGTGGGAAGACAGACCACACCCCGATGGAGATGCCGTGTGTGGGGGAGGTGTCTTCTCCAGGACACACTCCTGCTCGGGGTCCTGGCTTGGAGGAGTGAGTGTCGGGGGCCCTCTGTGAGGAGCTGCAGCCCCGACCTCCTCGGGAGCCTGGTCCGTCCTTCTGGTCCTGGGGCGTCCCTGGTGCGGCGGGAGGCTGACGGGTCCTCTCCCGGCAGCTCGAGCTGGACGCCAAGTACGCCAACCAGACCTGTGGGCTGTGCGGAGACTTCAATGGCGTCCCCGTCTACAACGAGTTCTCCTCACACCGTGAGTCCTCCCGGCGCCTCCCCGGCCCCTCACCCCACCTGCGCCCGGGTCCTCGGTGCTCCATGAAGGCTGCCCCAGAATCCCAAGTCAGAGATCTCAGTCTGAACACGTGTGCACCGCCCACACGTGCACGCAGACCCGAGCACTCGCATTCTCCACACGCGTGTGCAGACCCCCGCACCCCCCACAACCCCCACCCCCCCTCAGAGCAGGCAGCCTCCGCCGCATCCTGTTCTCAGTGCCGGGCCCGCCCCCTCCGCTGAAACGGCAGACCTGCCTCTGCCCAGACCCTGTCTCTGTGTCTTAGTCCTGAGCCTTTGCCAGCGAGCAGTGCTTTTCTTGTGACCCACGCCTGCTGCAGCCCCGAGTTTGGGGTCCCCTCTGCCTGGCCCGTGGAGCCCCACGCAAAGCCCGTCCGTGAGGGCTGCTTACTGGAGGCCAGCCCGGGGGCGGCCGGCAGGGGCTTGGGCTCACTCTCCAGCCCCGTGGGCTACAAGCCGGCCCCAGGCCCATGAAGTGTTAGGTAAAGGGCCAATCCCATGGCCCTGCAGCCTCGAATGCCCAGGGATCCCTCACTTCATCTCCAGATGCCCTTGTCCTCCAGAGCTGCCACTTAACTGAGCAGTGTGGGCAAGGGAGACAGGCATAGCTGGAACACCCTGAGCGAGGGATACGGGCGGTCCTTGTCCTTCCGGCAGATGTCAAGCTGACCCCCACCGAGTTTGGGAACCTGCAGAAGATGGACGGCCCCACGGAGCAGTGTCAGGACCCTGTCCCTGAGGATGCTGGGACCTGCTCGAACAACTCTGTAAGGCCCAGAGTGGACAGGGTGGGGGTCTCGCTCCCACATCCCCGGGGCTGAGCCAGGGACGCTCCAGACCAGACTAAACGAGGGGTCCGGGCTCTGCCCCAGGGCATCTGTGACGAGATGTTGAGCAGCGAGCCGTTCTTGGGCTGTGCCCTCCTGGTGAATGCCAGCAGCTATCTGGAGGCCTGCCGGCATGACCTCTGCCACTGCAGCCAGGCCAACCTCACCAGCTGCCTCTGCCACACCCTTGCCGAGTACTCCCGCCAGTGTGCCCACGCCGGGGGGCTGCCCCTGGACTGGCGGGGCCCCCAGCTCTGCCGTGAGTGCCCGCGTGGCCCGGGCTCTGTCCTGCTGTCCCCCCGGGGCTGGGGGCAGGGCAGGGTGTGACGCGGCCTGTCCTCCCCCGCAGCCCAGACGTGCCCCCTGAACATGCGGTACCGTGAATGCGGCTCGCCCTGCGTGGACACCTGCTCCAACCCCGAGCACTCCCAGCTGTGCGAGGACCACTGCGTTGCCGGCTGCTTCTGCCCCGAGGGTGAGAAGGAGCCCCTCCCCGGCCCCCGAATCACACAGATGCATCACGGGTGTCGGACAGAGCCCCTGAGGCGTCCCTTGGCCCCTGGGTCCCAGGAGCCCTCTAGGGCAGGCCTGTGGTGGGCGGGGGGCCACGCCCCTCCCCACGCCCTCTCAGCGCATAGTCCGCACCTGCCACACGGCCTGCCTGCCTCTGCAGGGATGGTTCTGGATGACATCGGCCACACGGGCTGCATCCCCGTGTCTGGGTGCTCCTGCATGTACAGTGGGGCCACCTACGCTCCAGGGACCGGCTACTCCACAGACTGCACCAACTGGTAGGCCCGGGCCCTGTCCTCTGCTCCCCGGACCCACCCTGGGGGCTGTGGCCGGGCGCCGCGGGTCTGCTCCCACCTGGGGCCCAGGGCAGAAGCCAGCAGCTGTCCGGGCAGGCGCCGGGGGCTCCAGTCTATGTGGGGAGGCAGGCAGGCCTGGGCGAGCCCGCGGTCGGCCTGCCGTCTGGGTGGGGGCCATGCCTGGGGCCCAGCACGCATGCGGTGCCCCCCTGCTCTCAGCACCTGCTCCGGAGGCCGGTGGACCTGCCGGGAGGCGCCGTGTCCAGGGACCTGCTCGGTGCTGGGCGGCGCCCACATCTCCACGTTCGACGAAAAGCAGTACACGATGCACGGGGACTGCAGCTACGTGCTGGCCAAGGTGCGGGCCCAGGCCCTCCCCGCACGGGCGGCTCTGGCGAACCGTGGGGCTCCCGAGACCTCCAGGAGACCACCCCGGCTTTGGGCGGGCGGAGCGGGGAGGCCGAGGCGGGCCGGGGGCCGATAAGCTCTGCCTGGGGGCCTGTGTTTCCAGCCTTGTGACAGCGGCGCCTTCACCGTGCTGGCCGAGCTGCGCAGGTGCGGGCTGACTGACAGTGAGAGCTGCCTGAAGAGCCTGACGCTGAGCCTGGGCGGGGGGCACACGGTGAGTGCGGGCCTGGGCGGGGTGTCCTTCCTGGCAAATGACCCCTGCCCGAGCCGTGACCCTCCAGAAGCAGCAGCCTGCGGGCACCCCCACTGCGTCCCACCTGCACCGCTTGTGGGTCTTCTGAGCGACGGTCCTCAGAGAGACCAGCTCAGAGGCGGGCTCTGGGGGCCTTCACCTGTCCAGAGCGGCCCAGGAACCTTCTCTGCTGAAATAAACTTTTAAAAACATAGTACAGTAAAAAAAAGTTTGGCTCTCCCAGGCCCTGGTTGCAGCCTGTGGGATCTTCTCGTGCCACGCAGGTGCCCCGCTGCGGCACATGTGTGGGCTCTGCAGTGCCGGCTCAGAATCTGTGACTCGCAGGCTTAGTTGCCCTGTGGCGTGTGGGGCCTTAGTTTCCTTACCAGGGAGCAAACCCATGTCACCTTCTTTGCAAGGCAGATACCTAACCACTGGACCTCCAGGGCAGTCCTTAAAGTCGACTCTTTAACTTTAGTAAATCTCTTCGCTTTTCATGTCAGTTCAGTTCAGTCGCTCAGTCATGTCCGACTCTCTGCAACCCCATGGACTGCAGCACACCAGGCTTCCCTGTCCATCACCAACTCCTGGAGTTTACTCAAACTCATGTCCATTGAGTCGGTGATGCCATCAAGCCATCTCATCCTCTGTCGTCCCCTTCTCCTGCCTTCAGTCTTTCCCAGCATCAGGGGCTTTTCCAATCAGTCAGTTCTTCACATCGGGTGGCCAAAGTATTGGAGTTTCAGCTTCAACATCAGTCCTCCCAATGAATATTCAGGACTGATTTCCTTTAGGATGGACTGGTTGGATCTCCTTGCAGTTCAAGGGACTCTCATGAGTCTTCTCCAACACCACAGTTCAAAAGCATCAATGCTTCAGTGCTCAGCTTTCTTTATGGTCAAAATTTCACATCTATATATGACTACTGGAAAAAACATAGCTTGGACTAGATGGACCTTTGTTGGCAAAGTAATGTCTCTGTTTTTTAATATGCTGCCTAGCTTGGTCATAGCTTTTCTTCTAAGGAGGAAGCGTCTTTTAATTTCATGGCTGCAGTCACCATCTGCAGTGATTTTGGAGCCCAAGAAAATAAAATCTCACTGTTTCCATTATTTCCCTATCTATTTGCTATGAAGTGATGGGACCGGATGCCATGGTATTAGTTTTTTGAATGTTGAGCTTTAAGCCAACTTTTTTCACCCTCCTCTTTCACTTTCATCAAGAGGCTCTTTAGTTCCTTTTCACTTTCTGCCATAAGGGTGGTGTCATCTGCATATCTGAGGCTGTTGATATTTCTCTTGCAATCTTGATTGCAGCTTATGCTTCATCCAGTCTGGCATTTCACATGATGCATATAAGTTAAATAAGCAGGGTGACAATGTACAGCCTTGACAAACTCCTTACCAATTTGGAACTGGTCCATTATTCCATGTCTGCTTCTAACTGTTGCTTTTTGACCTGCATACAGATTTCTCAGGAGGCAGGTAAGGTAGTCTGGTATTCCCATCTCTTTAAGAATTTTCCACAGTTTGTTGTGATCCACACAGTCACAGGCTTTGGCATAGTCAATGAAGCAGAAGTAGATGTTTTTCTGGAATCCTCTTGCTTTGTCTATGATCCAATGGATGTTGGCAATTTGATCTCTGGTTCCTCTGCCTTTTCTAAATCCGGCTTGTACATCTGGAAGTTCTCGGTTCATATACTATTGAAGCCTTGCTTGGAGAATTTTGAGCATTACTTTGCTATTGTGTGAGATGACTGCAATTGTGTGGTAGTTTGAATATTCTTGGGCATTGCCTTTCTCTGGGACTGGAATGAAAACTGACCTTTTCCAGTCCTGTGGCCACTGCTGAGTTTCCCAAATCTACTGGCATAGTAAGTGCAGCACTTTAATAGCCTCATCTTTTAGGATTTGAAGGAGCTCAGCTGAAATTCCATCACTTCCACTAGCTTTGTTTGTAGTGATGCTTCCTAAGGCCCACTTGACTTTGAACTCCAGGATGTCTGGCTCTAGGTTAGTGATCACACCATTGTGGTTATCTGGGTCATTAAGATCTTTTTTGTGTAGCTCTGTATTCTTGCCACCTCTTTTTAATCTCTTCTGCTTCTGTTGGGTCTGTACCATTTCTCTCCTTTATTGTGCCCATCTTTGCATGAAATGTTCCCTTGGTATCTTTAATTTTCTTGAAGAGATCTCTAGTCTTTCCCATTCTATTGCTATCCTCTGTTTCTTTTCATTGATCTTTGAAGGCTTTCTTATCTCTCCTTGCTATTCTTTGGAACTCTGCATTCAGATGGGTATATCTTTCCTTTTCTCCTTTGCCTTTCACGTCTCTTCTTTTCTCAGCTATTTCTAAGACCTCCTCAGACAACGATTTTGCCTTTTTGCATTTCTTTTTCTTACGGATGGTCTTGATCCCTGCCTCCTGTACAATGCTATGAACCTCCATCCATAGTTTGTCAGGCCCTCTATTAGATCTAACCCCTTGAATATATCTGTCACTTCCACTGTATAATCTTAAGGGATTTGATATAGGTCATACCTGAATGGTCCAGTGGTTTTCCCTACTTTCTTCAATTTAAGTCTGAATTTGGCAGTAAGGAGTTCATGATCTGAGCCACAGTCAGCTCCTGGTCTTGTTTTTGCTGACTGTATAACAGATGGAGCGTCTCCATCTTTGGTTGCAAAGAATATAATCAATCTGATTTTGGTGTTGACCATCTGGTGATATCCATGTGTAGAGTCTTCTCTTGTGTTGTTGGAAGAGGGTGTTTGTTATGACCAGTGCGTTCTCTTGGCTAAACTCTGTTAGCCTTTGCCCTGCTTCATTCTGTACTCCAAGGCCAAATAGAGGCCCTGGGGTCTCTGTGGGGTCCCTGGGTCCTGGTGCACACAAGATTTAGTTTGAGCCCCCTGAGCGTCTCTGGCAGGTAAGGAGTTTGATTCCTAATGCGATTTTGCCCCCTTCTGTCCTGCTGGGGCCTCTCGTTTGCCCTGGACGTGGGGTGTCATTTTTTGGTGGGATCCAACATTCTCCTGTCGATGGCTGTTCAGCGGTTAGTTGCAGTTTTGGAGTTCTCACAGGAGAAGATGAACGCACATCCTTCTACTCCACTGTCTTGAACAGCTTTTCATGTCACCAAAAAAAAAAAAAAAAGTCCTGTCCTTGTGGAAACATTAGCAAAGCAGGCTGAGCCTGAGTTGGGCGGGGGGCAGTCATCAGCCTTTCTCTGCCCTGTGGGGACTGTCACGACCCCTGCTGTGTGCTTCTCCAGGTCTTCATGATCAAGGCTAGCGGGGAGGTGTTTATGAACCAGGTCTACATCCAGCTGCCCGTCTCAGCAGGTGAGGGTGCCCGCCCCGCCCCCACTTCTGACAGTCCTGCCCCTCACGCCCACTGAGATGTGGTCCCCTGTGTCCACAGCCAACGTCACGCTCTTCAGACCTTCCACCTTCTTCATCATTGCCCAGACTCAGCTGGGCCTGCAGCTGGACATCCAGCTGGTGCCCATCATGCAGGTGTTCATGCGGCTGGAGCCGCAGATCCGAGGGCAGACCTGCGGTAAGAGGGTCACCACCTGGCACCCAAGTCCACCCCCTGTGGCTGGGCACGCAGGGGCCTCACACTGCCCTCCACCCCAGGCCTGTGTGGGAACTTCAACCAGAACCAGGCCGATGACTTCCGGACCATCAGCGGCGTGGTGGAGGGCTCAGCCGCTGCTTTCGCCAACACCTGGAAGACCCAGGCTGCCTGCCCCAACATCAAGAACAGCCTTGAGGACCCCTGCTCCCTCAGCGTGGAGAACGGTGTGTCTCCAGCAGCCCCGGGGCCTGCCTGGTGCCAGGCAGCCTCAGACGGCTCACACCCGGCGCTGCTCCACACGGAGGGACTCGGGGTGGAAGGAAGCTGCTCACCTCGAGGGGTCTCCCACTTGACATGACTGCCCAGCCCCACTGACCAGCCCTCCTCCATCCACAGAGAAGTTCGCTCAGCACTGGTGCTCCCGGCTGACAGACCCCCAGGGCCCATTCGCCCAGTGCCACTCCACTGTGGACCCCAGCGCCTACTACTCGGTAACGCCACCTCCTGCCTCTGCCCCTGGGCCTGGGCCACCCTCAGGGTGCCAAGGGCCAGGGCAACAGCATCTGGGCCAGGCTGGTCTCCCTGGCTCTGTCCCCTCCTCCACTCACTCACTCACTCATTCAGTCATTCACAAACTCACTCATTCATTCATTCAGTCAGTCACTCATTCACTCACTCACTCTTTCACTCATTCATTCACTCACTCACTCATTCACTCACTTATTCATTAATTCACTCACTCGTTCACGCATTCGTTCACTCACTCATTCACTCATTCATTCATTCATTCACTCACTCACTCATTCACTCACTCATTCACTCATTCATTTAGTCACTCACTCATTCATTCACTCACTTGTTCACTCATTCATTCACTCACTTATTCATTCACTCATTCACTCATTTATTCACTAACTTATTCAGTCATTAATTACTCAGTTGCTCATTCGCTCACCCACCCATTGTGAGATTCCAAGTCCATCATGTCCTCCTGCCCTACACCCAGGCACTGGGGCACTCACTACACACAGTGAGTGAGTAGCCCGCTGGCCCTGGGGTCAGTGAGAAACTGGTGTCTGGGGCTGACCACACGGGGCTGGACCGCTGGGTCACAGAGATGAGGGACAGTGATCCTTCCAACAGCCCCCCCATCAGCCCAAGGACGTGACTGCAAGATGGTCTGTATGTGTTCTTCTGAGGGAGGGGGAGGCCCCGTGAGCCTGGGGAGGCAGGGGCTCCGGCCGCGGCATGAGGAGGGACTGCCGTGACCGTGTGACTGGGGTCCCTGACGTCCCAGTGCACGCCCCCCAGAACTGCATGTTTGACACCTGTAACTGTGAGAAGAGTGAGGACTGCATGTGCGCGGCCCTGTCCTCCTACGTCCGGGCCTGTGCCTCCCGGGGCATCCTGCTCAGCGGCTGGCGGGACAGCGTGTGCAGTGAGTGTCCGCCAGCCGGGCGCGGGGCTTGAGCAGCACCGAGCCCACGGCCCCGGGACCCTGTCGGGGGGCTGTGGGGGCCGGGGCTGCCTGCCAGCTCTGGCCTGAGTGCCACGCTCCCTGCATCCACAGCAAAGGCCATGGCGACCTGCCCCAAGTCTCTCACCTACCGCTACAACATCAGCACATGCCCGCCCACCTGCCGGGCCCGGAGTGACGAGGACATAACCTGTGGCGTCGGCTTCGTCCCCGTGGACGGCTGCACCTGCCCCGAAGACACCTTCCTGGACAACACAGGCGCGTGCGTGCCAGCCGCCAGCTGCCCCTGCTACTTCCAGGGCTCCGTGGTCCCCAATGGGGAGTCGCGGCATGAGCAGGGCACTGTCTGGTAAGAGCCCGAGTGGGGTGGTTGGGTGGGGGAGGCTGGGGGCTCTCTGACTGCACTCTCCCGGCAGCTCCTGCACCCAGGGCGCACTCACCTGCATCGGAGGCCACACCCCAGATCAAGGTGAGCTGGGGCGGGTGGGGGGCCCTCGGTTATCTCTGCACAAAGCTTCGTAAGTACCTGCGGGATGACATGCCCGCAAGGCAGCGAGCTTGGCAGCAGCGTCGGGCTCCCCTTAGCGCCCCACTCCCTCCCCAGTCTGTGTCCCGCCCATGGTCTACTTCGACTGTCGCAACGCCATGCCTGGGGCCAGCGGGGCCGGCTGTCAGAAGAGCTGCCAAACCCTGGACATGGACTGTGTAAGTGCCCCCGCGGTCCCTGGGGCCCCTCTGCAGGCCCGGGTCACCCACTAAGTGGGCTCTGTCCCCCACCACAGTACAGCTCCAAGTGTGAGCCCGGCTGTGTGTGTCCTGATGGGCTGGTGGCCAGCGGCAACGGCAGCTGCATCCCCGTGTCCGACTGCCCCTGTGTGCACAACGAGGCCAGCTACCAGCCAGGCCAGACCATCCGCATGGGCTGCAACACCTGGTACCGGGGAGGGGGTGCTCCGGCAGCAGGAGGGGGCGCAACCTCGCCAGCCGCGGGGGCGGGCAGCTGGGGCCTCGAGCAGGGAGGTGTGGGCTGATGGGCACCCTCCCCCAGCACCTGTCGCAGCCGGACGTGGCAGTGCACCGACCAGCCCTGCCTGGCTACCTGCGCGGTGTACGGGGACGGCCACTACCTCACCTTCGACGGGCGGGACTACAGCTTCAGCGGGGACTGCGAGTACACGCTGCTCCAGGTACACGGCCTCTGAGCTCCCCCGCCCGCCCCGAGGCCCACTCACAGCCCCGGTGCACGCTCACCGCAGCGGGCCGCTCCTCTGCCCACAGGACCACTGCGGCGGGAACGGCAGCGCCCAGGACAGCTTCCGCGTCGTCACCGAGAACGTGCCCTGCGGCACCACAGGGACCACCTGCTCCAAGGCCATCAAGATCTTCCTGGGGGTGAGCAGGGGAGGGGGTCGGGGCAGGGAACCCCCCGGGAGGCCACGCTCCCATGACTCGGCCAGGACAGGGGTGGCCGAGCCACGAACCCACCCAGGCGGTGGCCAGGGTCCTCAGCCAGACCCTCACTGTCCCTGCAGAGCTACGAGCTGAAGCTGAGCGACAGGAAACTGGAGGTGACCGAGACGGGCCCGCGGCCGCCCTACTCCATCCGCCAGATGGGCATCTACCTGGTGGTCGACACGGGAGTGGGCCTTGTGCTGCTGTGGGACAAGGGTACCAGCATCTTCCTCAGACTCAGCCCCGACTTCAAGGTGAGGCCTCGCCCCAGACCCGGGGCAACGGGTGACGGAGGTGCAGGCAGGGGAGAGACAGAGACCCCGAAACAGAGACGGAGAGAGACAAGCAGAGGGACAGGGAGAGACAGAGAGACAAGAAACAGGAGAAAGAGACACGGAGAGGCGGAGGGACAGAGAGGAGCTGGCAGCAGGCAGCAGGAGGCCCTCGGCCACGTCTGGGTCCTGCAGCTGCTGGAAAAAGACCACAGGCAGGGGGCCCTCCTCCCCAAGGCTGCACGGTGAGCTGGTCAAGGCGCCCCAGGGCTATGGGCCTCCTGAGGCCTGAGGCTTCCTTGCCTCCTCCAGGCTCCATGGCCCCGGGTGGGCCTTCACCCCACACTCTGCCCCACCATGTCTCTGCACTGTCTTCATTCCATGGACCCTCGTTCCATAAAGACTGCAGCCAGCGGATCACCCATCTCAGGCCAGGGAGCCCTCATGGCAACTTGGTCATGCCCACAGAGACCTCACTCCCACTCTGGGCTGTGTGGGGGTCCGGGATGAGGACCTGAGCCTGTCTTTGGGGGCACCCCATGGCTGCTACACCGCGTCACCTGTACCCTCTGCTCCAGGAGACACCAGTGCCCAGTGGGCTGCACCCAGGGCCGCCCTCACACTCACTGGGGCTCCTCCGGGGGGCATCCTGGGGGAGATGCGGGCCCAGGGCAGTGAGTGGGGTCCCAGGGCCCCTCTTGCACTCGCCCGGAGCTGCTGCCACCTCCTCGTCCGTCTGTCTGCAGGGGAGGGTCTGCGGGCTGTGCGGGAACTTTGACGACAATGCCCTCAACGACTTCACCACACGGAGCCAGTCCGTGGTGGGTGACGTGCTGGAGTTTGGCAACAGCTGGAAATTCTCCCCATCGTGCCCGGACGCTCTGGCCCCCGGAGACCCCTGCACCACCAACCCGCACCGCAAGTCCTGGGCCCAGAAGCAGTGCAGCATTATCAACAGCCCCACCTTCAGTGCCTGCCATGCCCACGTACGTGGGGCGCCTCCGGGCACCTGGGGAGGGAGGGATGGAAGTGGGTCTGGGCTCCGCACCGCCCTCCGGGGCCAGCGGTGGCCGCGCAGGACCCTGTGCTCCAGGGGAAACCGGCCCAGGCAGATGCCAAACCACGTGGGTGCCCGGGAGCCTCCTGGCGTCTGAAGTCTCTCTCCCACAGGTGGAGCCATCCAGGTACTACAAGGCCTGCGTGAGCGATGCTTGTGCCTGCAACTCGGGGGGTGACTGTGAGTGCTTCTGCACAGCCGTGGCCGCCTATGCCCAGGCCTGCCACGATGCAGGCGTGTGCGTGTCCTGGCGGACCCCGGACATCTGCCGTGAGTGCTCTGAGACCTGCCTCCCCGGGTGGTGCGGGGGTGCAGGGGGTCACGAGAGCAGGGCTGAGAGTAGGAGGGGAGGCAGGGAATCAGCAGAGCTCCCTTCCTGCCCCAGGGCCTGGGCGCAGGGGGCGGATGTCCCCAAGAAGCTGGCCACCTGCCCCCTCTTGCCTACGGGCCTCCTAGGCCCACACCCTTCGAGGCTACATTCGGGGGCGCAGAGGAGAGACATGTCTTCAGAGCAAGGATCAGGGTGTGCGGGTGGCCCCGGGCTGCCCTTCCAGGAGCAGCCCTCCGCCTTGGACCTTCCGGGCCGAACGCCTGGCCCTGAGCTGACCCCTCACCCACAGCTCTGTTCTGCGACTACTACAACCCCCAGGGCCAGTGCGAATGGCACTACCTCTCCTGCGGGGCGCCCTGTCTGAAGACCTGCCGGAACCCCAGTGGCCAGTGCTGGCACGACACCCACAGCTTGGAAGGTGGGCTGCCCTGCTGGTCCGGGGCAGGATGAGGGGGGGCCATGCTGGGGACCCTGGGTCGGGGCTGTGGTCTGTCCTGGCGATCCCGGGACCGTTGACCCAGCTGGACCCCCCCCAGGTCCATCAAGGTGCCTTTGTGGCCGTAGCCTCGAGTTCCCCGCTGCCTGGGGGGTGAGGTCCAGGGCTGGGGCCTGAGCCGAGGTGGGAGCGAGGTAGCGGGTGATCGGCCCGGCTGGGACTCACGTCGCTCTGGCCCACAGGCTGCTACCCCAAGTGCCCACCAGAAGCCCCCATCTTCGACGAGGACCAGATGCAATGTGTGGCTTCATGCCCGACCCCATCCCCACCACCAACCTGCCATGCTGGAGGCCAGTCCTTCTGGCCAGGCTCCAAGGTGCCCTCGGACAGGAACTGCTACTCCTGGTGAGTCTGGCCGGAGCTGCGAGGACCTGGAGCATGTGGGGGATTCGCCCGGCCGCCTCCCAGCAGGGACTCCTACCGTCAGGGCCAGAGGGGTGCCCCGTTCTGGGTCTCGGTGGGGGTCCATGGGGAGTCTCCTCGCTGCTGGACGAGGTGGGGGAGGCCTGGAGGTGAAGGAAGCGGGCAGAAGGGAACCTGGGCTGTGACACAACCCGAGGAGCCCTCCCCAGGAAGAGGCCCTGGGGAGGAAGTGGCCTGGAAGGTCCTTGGGTCCAGAGGATGTGCTGGAACCACCTCCTCTGCTCATTGGCTGAAGGGCTCCCCGAGAGGGCGTGACCTCTGGGCTAAGGCCTGGCCACAGGGACCCAGTGGGGTGGCTTCTGCCTGCCTGCCCCTCGGCACAGGCCTGGGGACACCTGGCACACCGACTCACCTCTCTCCTGTCACCAGCATCTGCACTGAGGGCGGCGTGCAGTGTGCCTATGCCGCGAACGGTGAGCAGCGGACAGCCCTCCTTGTGCCCTGGGCCCGGGGCTCCTGCCCACATCCCCACCCAGTAATGCTGGCGCTCTGCTCCCAACAGCTTGCGTCTGCACCTATGGCGGGAAGCAGTTCCATCCCGGGGACGAAATCTACCTAACAACGGACGGCTTGGGGAGCTGCATCTTGGCCCGCTGTGGGGCCAACGGCACCATCGAGAGACTGGTCTACCCCTGCAGCCCCACCACGCCCACCGCCCAGACCATCTTCTCCTTCTCGACCTCCCTGCCGGGTAAGGCAGACGCGTGGGTACCACGCAGGGCTGCTCCCCACCCCCGCCCCGAGTCAGGAAGGAGGCGGGACCCCGCAGAGCCCGCGCCCCTGGGCCGGCCACCCTGCAGCCAGAAAGGGCCAGCCTCCTCGAGGCCCCGCGGCAGGACTGATGCCCCTGCTGTGCTCGGGCTGAGGCTCCCAGCGAGGGGCAGGCGCTGTAAGCGGAGGTGTCCCAGGACAGTGCCCGGGAAGAGGGCCTGGGGAAGCCCAGCTCGAGCACCCCTGCCCAGACCTGCTGCCCTCAAGGCCCCTCTGAGTCCTCACTCTTCCAGGGGCACCTCAGAGCCTTATTAGAGCTTCCCCAAAGGGTGACGAGCCTCTGGAACTCTGGGCTTAGGTTCCAGGGAGCAGGCTTCCTTACACAAGCTCAACTCACCTCTTGACTCAGGAGCGGTGACCTCCACACCTGCCAGGTGTGGGCGCCCTGCCTCCCAAGCCCCTGTCGGGGCAGACAGATGCGGCGAAATGCCCTGGCAGCTGATGCTGACAGAGGGGTGGGGCGGGGTGTCCTCGAGGGCCCAGGAACCCCTACACCTGTCCCAGGCACCTCAACACCTGTCCCAGGCACCTCACCCTCTGTCCCAGGAACCTCAGCACCTGTCTCAGGAACCTTAACACCCATCCCAGGACCCTCTACACCCGGCACAGTTCACTCAACTCCTGGGAAAACAACCCTCTTGACTCCCAGCCTAGTGCCAGTCTCAACAACTATTTCAAGCACAACTTCTGTGTTGACCACAGCTCCAACGTCCCCAGAGTGGCCCCCAACTGAGCCCACCATGGTCACCACGGTCACTTGTTTACAAGTTTTATGCAACTGGACTGAGTGGATGGACGGCAGCTACCCTGGGCCGGGGAGAAACAGTGGAGATTTTGACACTATTCCGAATCTCAGAGCCGAAGGTTATAAATTCTGTGCAGAGCCCAAGAATGTGCAGTGCCGGGCAGAGCGCTTCCCTGACACCCCACTGCAGGAGCTGGGCCAGGACGTGATCTGTAACAAATCCGTGGGCCTGATTTGCCGGAACGAGGACCAGCTGCCCCCCATCTGCTACAACTACAACATCCGCTTCCTGTGCTGTGAGCTGGTGGACACTTGCAGGACACACACCACTTCGCCTGCTACACCTGCCACCACACAGACAGCCCCAACTGAAGCCAGCACTACCTGGACCACGGGAACCCTCTCCACTTCCACCAAACTCAGCACTGCTAGCTCACGTCACGTGACCACAGCAAGACCAGTGACAACCAGCACACATGAGCAATCCTCTCCAGGGACCACACCATGCAAGCCAAAGTGCAGGTGGACCAAGTGGTTCGACGTGGACTTCCCCATGCCCGGGCCCCACGGGGGAGACAATGAAACCTTCGGCAACATCCTGAGGAATGGAAACCTCATCTGCCACCGACCCGAATCCATCAGCAAAGTGGAGTGCCGAGCCGAGAGCCACCCCGGGGTCAGCATCCATGAGCTGGGCCAGGTGGTGCAGTGCCGCCAGGACGTGGGCCTGCTGTGTCGGAACGAGGACCAGAAGGGTGAGACCAGCACGTGCCTCAACTACCAGATCAGAGTGCTGTGCTGCGAGCCCCAGGAACACTGCCCTCCACCCACTGTCACAGGAGCCAGCACCACCAGTGTGAGCGTCAGTGTGCACTCAGCGACCACCGTCCACCAGGCCACATCCAGTGCAACCCCTGTGCAGACAAGCGGCACAGCCTCGGCTCCTACAACCAGTGCAACCCCTGTGCAGACAAGCGGCACAGCCTCGGCTCCTACAACAAGTGCAACCTCTGTGCAGACAAGTGGCACAGCCTCGGCTCCTACAACCAGTGCAACCTCTGTGCAGACAAGCGGCACAATCTCGGCTCCTACAACCAGTGCAACCTCTGTGCAGACAAGCGGCAAAACCTCGGCTCCTACAACCAGTGCAACCTCTGTGCAGCCAAAGAGCACAGCCTCGGCTCCTACAACCAGTGCAACCTCCATGCACACAGGCAGCACAAAATCAGCTCTTACAAGTGCAAGCTCTGTGCAGACAAGGAGCACAACCTCGGCTCCTAAAACGAGCTCAACCTCTGTGCACACAGGCAGCACAACCTCGGCTCCTACAACCAGTGCAACCTCTGTGCAGACAAGCGGCACAACCTCGGCTCCTACAACCAGTGCAACCTCTGTTCCTACATCCGAGACTATCTCGTCCCCACCGGGGACCACACCATGCAAGCCAAAGTGCAGGTGGACCAAGTGGTTCGATGTGGACTTCCCCATGCCCGGGCCCCACGGGGGAGACAATGAAACCTTCGGCAACATCCTAAGGAATGGAGAGCTCATCTGCCACCGACCCGAATCCATCAGCAAAGTGGGGTGCCGAGCCGAGAGCCACCCCGGGGTCAGCATCCACGAGCTGGGCCAGGTGGTGCAGTGCCGCCAGGACGTGGGCCTGCTGTGTCGGAACGAGGACCAGAAGGGTGAGACCAGCACGTGTCTCAACTACCAGATCAGAGTGCTGTGCTGCGAGCCCCAGGAACACTGCCCTCCACCCACTGTCACAGGAGCCAGCACCACCAGTGTGAGCGTCAGTGTGCACTCAGTGACCACTGTCCACCAGGCCACATCCAGTGCAACCTCTGTGCAGACAAGCAGCACAACCTCGGCTCCTACAAGTGCAACCTCTGTGCAGACAAGCAGCACAACCTCGGCTCCTACAACCAGTGCAACCTCTGTGCAGACAAGCGGCACAACCTCGGCTCCTACAACCAGTGCAACCTCTGTGCAGACAAGCGGCACAATCTCGGCTCCTACAACCAGTGCAACCCCTGTGCAGACAAGCGGCACAATCTCGGCTCCTACAACCAGTGCAACCTCTGTGCAGACAAGCAGAACAACCTCGGCTCCTACAAGCAGTGCAACCTCTGTGCAGCCAAAGAGCACAACCTCGGCTCCTACAACCAGTGCAACCTCTGTGCAGACAAGTGGCAAAACCTCGGCTCCTACAACCAGTGCAACCTCTGTGCAGACAAGCGGCAAAACCTCGGCTCCTACAACCAGTGCAACCTCTGTGCAGACAAGCGGCAAAACCTCGGCTCCTACAACCAGTGCAACCTCTGTGCAGACAAGCGGCAAAACCTCGGCTCCTACAACCAGTGCAACCTCTGTGCAGCCAAAGAGCACAACCTTGGCTCCTACAACCAGTGCAACCTCTGTGCAGACAAGCGGCAAAACCTCGGCTCCTACAACCAGTGCAACCTCCATGCACACAGGCAGCACAAAATCAGCTCTTACAAGTGCAAGCTCTGTGCAGACAAGGAGCACAACCTCGGCTCCTAAAACGAGCTCAACCTCTGTGCACACAGGCAGCACAACCTCGGCTCCTACAACCAGTGCAACCTCTGTGCAGACAAGCGGCACAACCTCGGCTCCTACAACCAGTGCAACCTCTGTTCCTACATCCGAGACTATCTCGTCCCCACCGGGGACCACACCATGCAAGCCAAAGTGCAGGTGGACCAAGTGGTTCGATGTGGACTTCCCCATGCCCGGGCCCCACGGGGGAGACAATGAAACCTTCGGCAACATCCTAAGGAATGGAGAGCTCATCTGCCACCGACCCGAATCCATCAGCAAAGTGGGGTGCCGAGCCGAGAGCCACCCCGGGGTCAGCATCCACGAGCTGGGCCAGGTGGTGCAGTGCCGCCAGGACGTGGGCCTGCTGTGTCGGAACGAGGACCAGAAGGGTGAGACCAGCACGTGTCTCAACTACCAGATCAGAGTGCTGTGCTGCGAGCCCCAGGAACACTGCCCTCCACCCACTGTCACAGGAGCCAGCACCACCAGTGTGAGCGTCAGTGTGCACTCAGTGACCACTGTCCACCAGGCCACATCCAGTGCAACCTCTGTGCAGACAAGCAGCACAACCTCGGCTCCTACAAGTGCAACCTCTGTGCAGACAAGCAGCACAACCTCGGCTCCTACAACCAGTGCAACCTCTGTGCAGACAAGCGGCACAACCTCGGCTCCTACAACCAGTGCAACCTCTGTGCAGACAAGCGGCACAATCTCGGCTCCTACAACCAGTGCAACCCCTGTGCAGACAAGCGGCACAATCTCGGCTCCTACAACCAGTGCAACCTCTGTGCAGACAAGCAGAACAACCTCGGCTCCTACAAGCAGTGCAACCTCTGTGCAGCCAAAGAGCACAACCTCGGCTCCTACAACCAGTGCAACCTCTGTGCAGACAAGTGGCAAAACCTCGGCTCCTACAACCAGTGCAACCTCTGTGCAGACAAGCGGCAAAACCTCGGCTCCTACAACCAGTGCAACCTCTGTGCAGACAAGCGGCAAAACCTCGGCTCCTACAACCAGTGCAACCTCTGTGCAGACAAGCGGCAAAACCTCGGCTCCTACAACCAGTGCAACTTCTGTGCAGCCAAAGAGCACAACCTTGGCTCCTACAACCAGTGCAACCTCTGTGCAGACAAGCGGCAAAACCTCGGCTCCTACAACCAGTGCAACCTCCATGCACACAGGCAGCACAAAATCAGCTCTTACAAGTGCAAGCTCTGTGCAGACAAGGAGCACAACCTCGGCTCCTAAAACGAGCTCAACCTCTGTGCACACAGGCAGCACAACCTCGGCTCCTACAACCAGTGCAACCTCTGTGCAGACAAGCGGCACAACCTCGGCTCCTACAACCAGTGCAACCTCTGTTCCTACATCCGAGACTATCTCGTCCCCACCGGGGACCACACCATGCAAGCCAAAGTGCAGGTGGACCAAGTGGTTCGATGTGGACTTCCCCATGCCCGGGCCCCACGGGGGAGACAATGAAACCTTCGGCAACATCCTGAGGAATGGAAACCTCATCTGCCACCGACCCGAATCCATCAGCAAAGTGGGGTGCCGAGCCGAGAGCCACCCCGGGGTCAGCATCCACGAGCTGGGCCAGGTGGTGCAGTGCCGCCAGGACGTGGGCCTGCTGTGTCGGAACGAGGACCAGAAGGGTGAGACCAGCACGTGCCTCAACTACCAGATCAGAGTGCTGTGCTGCGAGCCCCAGGAACACTGCCCTCCACCCACTGTCACAGGAGCCAGCACCACCAGTGTGAGCGTCAGTGTGCACTCAGCGACCACCAGCACCACCAGTGTGAGCGTCAGTGTGCACTCAGCGACCACCGTCCACCAGGCCACATCCAGTGCAACCTCTGTGCAGACAAGCGGCACAGCCTCGGCTCCTACAAGTGCAACCTCTGTGCAGACAAGCAGCACAACCTCGGCTCCTACAACCAGTGCAACCCCTGTGCAGACAAGCGGCACAATCTCGGCTCCTACAACCAGTGCAACCTCTGTGCAGACAAGCGGCACAATCTTGGCTCCTACAACCAGTGCAACCTCTGTGCAGCCAAAGAGCACAACCTCGGCTCCTACAACCAGTGCAACCTCTGTTCCTACATCCAAGACTATCTCGTCCCCACCGGGGACCACACCATGCAAGCCAAAGTGCAGGTGGACCAAGTGGTTCGACGTGGACTTCCCCATGCCCGGGCCCCACGGGGGAGACAATGAAACCTTCGGCAACATCCTGAGGAATGGAGACCTCATCTGCCACCGACCCGAATCCATCAGCAAAGTGGGGTGCCGAGCCGAGAGCCACCCCGGGGTCAGCATCCACGAGCTGGGCCAGGTGGTGCAGTGCCGCCAGGACGTGGGCCTGCTGTGTCGGAACGAGGACCAGAAGGGTGAGACCAGCACATGTCTCAACTACCAGATCAGAGTGCTGTGCTGCGAGCCCCAGGAACACTGCCCTCCACCCACTGTCACAGGAGCCAGCACCACCAGTGTGAGCGTCAGTGTGCACTCAGTGACCACTGTCCACCAGGCCACATCCAGTGCAACCTCTGTGCAGACAAGCAGCACAACCTCGGCTCCTACAAGTGCAACCTCTGTGCAGACAAGCAGCACAACCTCGGCTCCTACAACCAGTGCAACCTCTGTGCAGACAAGCGGCACAACCTCGGCTCCTACAACCAGTGCAACCTCTGTGCAGACAAGTGGCACAACCTCGGCTCCTACAACCAGTGCAACCTCTGTGCAGACAAGCGGCACAACCTCGGCTCCTACAACCAGTGCAACCTCTGTGCAGACAAGCGGCACAACCTCGGCTCCTACAACCAGTGCAACCTCTGTGCAGACAAGCGGCACAACCTCGGCTCCTACAACCAGTGCAACCTCTGTGCAGACAAGCGGCACAACCTCGGCTCCTACAACCAGTGCAACCTCTGTGCAGACAAGCGGCACAACCTCGGCTCCTACAACCAGTGCAACCTCTGTGCAGACAAGCGGCACAATCTCGGCTCCTACAACCAGTGCAACCTCTGTGCAGACAAGCGGCAAAACCTCGGCTCCTACAACCAGTGCAACCTCTGTGCAGCCAAAGAGCACAGCCTCGGCTCCTACAACCAGTGCAACCTCCATGCACACAGGCAGCACAAAATCAGCTCTTACAAGTGCAAGCTCTGTGCAGACAAGGAGCACAACCTCGGCTCCTAAAACGAGCTCAACCTCTGTGCACACAGGCAGCACAACCTCGGCTCCTACAACCAGTGCAACCTCTGTGCAGACAAGCGGCACAACCTCGGCTCCTACAACCAGTGCAACCTCTGTTCCTACATCCGAGACTATCTCGTCCCCACCGGGGACCACACCATGCAAGCCAAAGTGCAGGTGGACCAAGTGGTTCGATGTGGACTTCCCCATGCCCGGGCCCCACGGGGGAGACAATGAAACCTTCGGCAACATCCTAAGGAATGGAGAGCTCATCTGCCACCGACCCGAATCCATCAGCAAAGTGGGGTGCCGAGCCGAGAGCCACCCCGGGGTCAGCATCCACGAGCTGGGCCAGGTGGTGCAGTGCCGCCAGGACGTGGGCCTGCTGTGTCGGAACGAGGACCAGAAGGGTGAGACCAGCACGTGTCTCAACTACCAGATCAGAGTGCTGTGCTGCGAGCCCCAGGAACACTGCCCTCCACCCACTGTCACAGGAGCCAGCACCACCAGTGTGAGCGTCAGTGTGCACTCAGTGACCACTGTCCACCAGGCCACATCCAGTGCAACCTCTGTGCAGACAAGCAGCACAACCTCGGCTCCTACAAGTGCAACCTCTGTGCAGACAAGCAGCACAACCTCGGCTCCTACAACCAGTGCAACCTCTGTGCAGACAAGCGGCACAACCTCGGCTCCTACAACCAGTGCAACCTCTGTGCAGACAAGCGGCACAATCTCGGCTCCTACAACCAGTGCAACCCCTGTGCAGACAAGCGGCACAATCTCGGCTCCTACAACCAGTGCAACCTCTGTGCAGACAAGCAGAACAACCTCGGCTCCTACAAGCAGTGCAACCTCTGTGCAGCCAAAGAGCACAACCTCGGCTCCTACAACCAGTGCAACCTCTGTGCAGACAAGCGGCAAAACCTCGGCTCCTACAACCAGTGCAACCTCTGTGCAGACAAGCGGCAAAACCTCGGCTCCTACAACCAGTGCAACCTCTGTGCAGACAAGCGGCAAAACCTCGGCTCCTACAACCAGTGCAACCTCTGTGCAGACAAGCGGCAAAACCTCGGCTCCTACAACCAGTGCAACCTCTGGGCAGCCAAAGAGCACAACCTTGGCTCCTACAACCAGTGCAACCTCTGTGCAGACAAGCGGCAAAACCTCGGCTCCTACAACCAGTGCAACCTCCATGCACACAGGCAGCACAAAATCAGCTCTTACAAGTGCAAGCTCTGTGCAGACAAGGAGCACAACCTCGGCTCCTAAAACGAGCTCAACCTCTGTGCACACAGGCATCACAACCTCGGCTCCTACAACCAGTGCAACCTCTGTGCAGCCAAAGAGCACAACCTCGGCTCCTACAACCAGTGCAACCTCTGTGCAAACAAGCGGCACAATCTCGGCTCCTACAACCAGTGCAACCCCTGTGCAGACAAGCGGCACAATCTCGGCTCCTACAACCAGTGCAACCCCTGTGCAGACAAGCAGCACAACCTCGGCTCCTACAACCAGTGCAACCTCTGTGCAGACAAGCGGCACAACCTCGGCTCCTACAACCAGTGCAACCTCTGTGCAGACAAGCGGCACAATCTCGGCTCCTACAACCAGTGGAACCTCTGTGCAGACAAGCGGCACAACCTCGGCTCCTACAACCAGTGCAACCTCTGTGCAGACAAGCGGCACCACCTCGGCTGCTACAACCAGTGCAACCTCTCTTTCTACATCTGCGACTACCCCCTCCTCACCTGGGACCACAGCGTGCTACTGCAACGCGTCTGGCACGTTGTATCGCGCAGGTATGTAGACTCTTCCCCTGTGTGTGGTTGTGCCCCCTCTGGTCCTGGTGCCCTCCTCTCAAAGCCTCAGTGTGCAGGAGACACAGGTGTGTCTTGTCTGTGATGGGCTAGGTCTGTGTCCAGGATCACAGTAAGCTCTCCATGAAGATGAAGTCTAGACCTGGGTTGGAGGGCCCCAGTCAGGCCAGCTCTTCTCTGGAGTTACTTCCTGGCCTTCAGTGCCTGCCTCTTCCTTTGTCCTGCAGGATCCATCATCTATGAAGTGACCGACCTATCGGGCCACTGCTATTATGCCTTTTGCAGCCTGGACTGCCACGTGGTCAAGCAGATGGCCCCCTCCTGTCCCACCAGCATGCCACCTCCCACTCCGACCACCTCCCCACCAGAGTCCTCCCCTTCTACCCCTGTGTCGGTCCCTCCACAAGGGTGCCCAAATGCAGTTCCCCCAAGAATGGTAACCTCACCTCTCCTGCCCTTCTCAGGGGCTCAGGGGGCCTGGGAAGGGACCCTCAGTGGTTTCCAACTAGAGAGTGTGGCATGAAGCATGGGTGAAGGTCAGTGACTCCTGGGCTGATGCAGGCTGGCCATGACAAGCAGACATCTGGTCTCCAGCTCTTCTGGATGGGGGCGCCAGGAGCACGGGGCCCAAGGTTGAGATTCTGTTCCCTGTAAAGTGGGCTGGAGCAGGCTGTTGTTTCTCGGGGGTGGGTGAAACAGCCAAGGACTGGAGACCAAAGAGTTGGAGGCAGGGGCACGGTGGAAAGGGGGCCGCCTTCACCAGCCAGAGTTCCCCTGCTCAGCCCTGTGCCCTCCGGGTGGGTCTGGGGAAGGAGAGGCCTGGGGCAGGGCTGGCCCCTAGTCCCAGAAGGGTGGCTCTTCTCCCTAGGGAGACCCAGGCGCATGCTGAGCCCCGTGGGGTAGGTGCCAGGCGGGGACGAGGCCCTGTAGCTTTCTCTGCTTCCACAGACAGGTGAAACCTGGCCCATGCCCAACTGCTCCGAGGCCACCTGCCAGGGCAACGGGGTCATCACGGTGAGCCCGCGCCACTGTCCGAAGGTGCAGAAGCCCACCTGTGCCAATGGCTACCCCGCCGTGCAGGTGGCTGACCATGACAGCTGCTGCTCACACTACCAGTGCCCGTGTGAGTGCGCGGGGCGGGGCGGGGCGGGGCGGGGCTCAGCGGCTGGACAGGACTGGGCGTGGCTGGGCGTGGCGGGAGGGGCGTGGCGGGGCGTGGCGGGGCGGGGCTCAGCGGCTGGACAGGACTGGGCGTGGCTGGGCGTGGCGGGGCGGGGCGCAGGGGCGGAGGGAGAGAGGGCAGAACGGAATCAGGCTGGACCCAGGGAGGACACCCCAAGATCAAGGCACCAGTGGTGGCGCTCAGCCTCCACCAAGGTGCCGCGCGGAGCCCTGCCCGGGCCTGGAGTCCCCGGGCCGCGCAGGGGTGAGGAGGCGGAGGGAGTCTGGTCCACTTCGGGCGCCTGCTGAACAGAGTTCTGTGCGGTGCCGGTGCGTGGGCCCCGACGGCAGGGCGGTCACCTGCTCCGCTTGGTGTGGGACCACGTGTCCCTGGGGCGGGGGGCGGTAGTGCAGCCCGTCAGGCGCTGGCTCCTCTGTGCAGGCGTGTGCAGCGGCTGGGGGGACCCACACTACATCACGTTCGACGGCACCTACTACACGTTCCTGGACAACTGCACGTACGTGCTAGTGCAGCAGATCGTGCCGGTGTACGGCCACTTCCGCGTGCTGGTCGAGAACTATTTCTGCGACGCGAAGGATGGGCTGTCCTGCCCACAGTCCATCATCGTTGAGTACCAGGAGAACCGCGTCATGCTGACCCACAAGGCCGTCCGCGGGGTGATGACCAACGAGGTAGGCACGTGGCAGGGCGACTCCCACAAGTGCCGGGCGGGCTGAGGGCGCCAGGCGCTGGCTGATCACCACCGCCCCTGCCCCTCTCATTCTGTTCCTCGCTGGTCACCGTCCAGATCATTTTTAACGGCAAGGTGGTCAGGCCCGGCTTCCAGAAAGACGGCATTGCCGTCTCCCAAGTTGGCATCAAGATGTATGTGAGCATTCCTGAGCTCGGCGTCTGGGTCATGTTCAGCGGCCTCATCTTCTCCGTGGAAGTGCCCTTCAGCAAGTTCGCCAACAACACGGAAGGGCAGTGTGGTGGGTGCCCGGCTCCCACTCCCCACCCTCCTGGCTCTGGGCCATGTCCGTGGTCATTCAACGTGGCTGAGTGTGTCTGGTGTGAGAAGAGTTGGCCTTGGTTGTGTCTCCCCCCGCCCCCGGAGCTGCACTTTTGGCCCCGGGCTGAGGCCACTGCGTGGTGCTGAGCCTACAGGCAATTCTGCTTTCTGGTTGCACCAAGAATGTGCGACCACAGGGTCCAGGGCCCTGCGCCCAGGGCCCAGCCACGTGACCCACACCTGAGGACCACCCCTGTCATCCTTCCTGGGAATGGCCCCGGGGTCTGGCTTCTTGGAGGGAAAGGAAGCACACAGAGGTGGAGAGGCAGGTTCACACACTCCATCGAGTGCCGCCTGGAGATGCTGGGCCCGACCCTCAGCTCAGGGACGCTGAGCCCACGGCGGGGCGCAGGAGGCCCCCTGACCGCCACCTCCACCCTGCAGGCACCTGCACCAATGACCAGAAGGATGATTGCCGCCTGCCTGGGGGCGCGGTGGTGGCCTCCTGCTCTGACATGTCCGGCCACTGGAAGGTGACATACCCTGGCCAGCCGCCCTGCAATGTGCCTCCCCCGACGCCTACCCCAGTGGAGCCCAGGACCTCGCCCACCCCGTGCCCACCTTCACCAATCTGCCAGCTCATTCTGAGCAAGTGAGATTCTGGGGCAGGGCTGGGGCAAAGGCAGGGGTGCTAGTAGTCCTGTTGACCCCACGCTGCCGGGCTGGTGGGAAGAGGTGGGCCTGCAAGGGGCTGCGAGGGAGAGGGGGTCACAGCTGCTGGGATGCCGGGTGCAGAGCCCCGTGGAGGCTGGCTGCGGGGCAGCCTCAGGCTCTGCGGCAGCTCATGGCCACAAGTCCTCAGCCAGCATGGCGCTGGGTGGGCAGGCCCCGGGGAACGCAGCGGAGAATTTGCAGAAAGAAAAACTATGTTCAGCCAGACACCCACCCCACCGCACACAGATGGCCCTAGGGGCCGGGGTCCCCGGGCATGTGGGTCGGCCCAGCGACATCCCTCCCTCGGGGCCCTTTTGGGGAAAGCCCGCAGCCGAGCAGCCTCTCCCTGGCACTGCCCACGACCCCCATGTTTGTGCCGCAGGCCCTTCAAGCTGTGCCACACGCTAATCCCGCCCTGGCCGTACTACCAAGGCTGCACCTTCGACCAGTGCCACATGCCTGGCAGGGACGTGATGTGCTCTGCCCTAGAGCTCTACGCTGCCCTCTGTGCCTCCCTTGGTGTCTGCGTCGACTGGCGGGGCCAGACCAACTACACGTGCCGTGCGTGTCCGCCCCCTCCCCCTCCCTCTGGGCAGTGACATTCAAGAGGATGGGTGCAGTGTGCGATCAGTGGGTGGGCCTGGGTGGTCAGGGTGGGCTTCTGGGAGGAGGAGGAGGAGGGCTGGGCCCAGGATGGAGAGCATTTGTTTCCTGAGAGACAAGAGGGGGCATCCAGGTGAGAGCGTCTGGTCTTGGGGTGCAGAGGTCAGGGCTCGACTAGCAGGTCCTGGCCCGAGAGCTCCCGGCCCCGCCTGCCAGTGGGGCTCAGGCCAGGGCCCACGGCTGGTGCCCTGCGGCCTCAGGCGCGTCCTCCCCCCCCCCCACACAGCCTTCACCTGCCTTGCTGGCATGGAGTACCGGCCCTGCGGCCCGCCCACCCCCTCCTACTGTTGCATGGACAGCAACACCAGCGCCCCGTAAGCACCTGCCCGCTACCATGGGGACCCCCTCCCTGGTCCAGCATGTGTCCCCTCCCGGAGGGCGCGGCCTGCTCACCCTCTGCTCCCACTCCCCATAGGGCCCTCCTGGGAGCCAGTCCCATCACGGAAGGCTGCTTCTGCCCACAGGGCATGATGTTCTACAGCTCGAGCAAGGAGGTCTGCGTGCCCGCTGACTGCAACAGTAGGTTCCCGAGCTGGGCTCCCCGGGCTGGGCTCTGGGCTTCCAGGCACTGCCCCTGGCTTTTCAGCCGGACCCCAGGGCTTTCTGCCATGACCTGGGGTCCCCCTGGCCCCAGACTGGGTCTGGCCGTGACGGGCTGGGGGCCAAGGTGGCCCAGCAGTGATCTTGCCTCTTTTCCTCCAGCTTGCCTGGGGCCCAGTGGGGAGCCTGTGGAGGTGAGTGTGGGGCCCTCAGGGGCTAGGGGCTTCTCTCAGCCCTGGAGACTCACAGGATAGGCAGGAGGGCGGCCGGGGTTCTCTGGCAAGAGTCAGGACCCCCATGTGCGGCCCTGGGGCCGGTGCACCCCGTCTTCCCGGGGACCCCTCCCACCCACCCCTGCAGAGCCACGGCATGCAGGACCGCCTCCTGCCTCCAGGCCCTTGTGGGCCTCAGCTGCACCCACACCTCTGGAGACCACTTGCAGGCTCCGAGCCGTGGGTTTCTGCCCCCCTGGCTGTGGCCATGGGCTCTCTTTTCCCTCCCCTGACAGCCCGGCCACACGGTCATCGTGGACTGCCAGGAGTGCACCTGTGAGGGTAGCACGCGGACCATGAGCTGCCAGCCCCAGGCCTGCCCCCCGGCCCCCACCTGCCCCGAGTCTGGCCACGTGCCTGTGCCCGAGGCCCTGCAGACCGGCCAGTGCTGTCCCCAGTACCATTGCGGTGAGCCCCGGGTGGGGGCGGGGGGCGCCGGGCTGGCTGGCAGAAGGGCTCTGAAATGTGGGCTACGGTGAGGTCAGAGCTGACCAGAAGCCTCATCCCTCAGGCAGCGGGCACCGCTCCGAGAGCCTACCCCCTGCCAGAGTCCTACCCCGCTCAGGATTTCTGGAGACCCCCCATAGGGGTGGCACTCAGGCCAGGGTGGGAGGCAGATCCCTGACGCCCCCTCTGTCCACTGTAGCCTGTAACACCAGCCACTGCCCTGAGCCCGAGGCCTGCCCGAAAGGCTCACACGCCATCCAGACCTACAGCGGGGCGGCCTGCTGCCCGACCTACAGCTGCAGTGAGTGCCCTCTAAGTGGTGGCCAGGCAGGGGAAGCGGGGCTGTGGCAGCTGCTCCAGGGGCTGAGGGTGCATCTGCAGCTTTTCTTTCTCCCCCGAGCAGGCTGGAGCGTCTGCAGCATCAACGGCACCCTGTACCAGGTAAGAACTGGCGAAGGTCAGGGCCCCCTGGTGCGCAGGGACCAGAGTCCCCGTCCTGCAAGCTTCTCCGTGGCCAAGGCTGCATCCCTGCGGGGCCTGGGGAAGGTGCACTTTGGAGCAGCAGTAGGCTCTCCTGGGACCACAGCCCTTGTCCTGAACTTGACAAGGTCCCCAGACAAGCTTTCCCATGGCCAGGTCCTCTAGAGCATGTGATGCAGCCTTGGGACTCTGTCCCCAAGACCGGGACCCCCGGCAGGAGGCACTCCCAAGGGTCATCCAGGGGGAGGACAGTCCACCAGGCCTGTCCCACTGACACTACCCCTGACTCCCGCAGCCCGGTGCCGTGGTCTCCTCGAGCCTGTGTGAAAAATGTTGGTGTGAGCTGCCTGGGGGAGCCCCATCAGACACCTTTTCGATCAACTGTGAGACCCAGATCTGCAGTACCTCCTGCCCCCTGGTGAGTGCCCCTGCACCCCGGCCTCCACACCCCCCTCCGCAACGTCCAGAGGGGCTCAGGCCACGCCCTGCCTCCCTCAGGGCTTCAAGTACCAGGCTCAGGCCGGGCAGTGCTGTGGTGAGTGCGTGCAGGTGGCCTGCATCATGAACACCAGTGACAGCTCCGCCCACCTCTTCTACGTGAGTAGTGGCTGCAAGGCCTTGGGGTGCATTCTGGGCGGGGTCAGCCCCAACCCTGGACAGAAGGCAGAGTGCACAGCGATGGTGGGGGTGCAGGGTGAGTAGCATCCTGGCGCACTGTGGACCCTGGAGAGCCGTCAGAGCTAGGCAGCCTCTGGGCAGAAACGTGGGAGCTCTGGAAGCCTGTGGGCTGGGGGCTGATGGACAGACACAGCGCCCGCCCCAGCTGGAGGGGGCCCTGGGGAGGACTGCTTACCTGCCAGCTGGGACTCCCTGCAGCCAGGCGAGTCTTGGTCAGACCCCGGAGACCACTGCGTGACGCACAAGTGTGAGAAGCACTGGGATGGGCTCGAGGTGGTGACCACAAAGAAGGTGTGTCCCCTGCTCAACTGTCCTGCGGTGAGTCCCGGCAGTCCGCCCGCCCTTCCTGGGGGGCCCACAGTGGCCGGGGAGGATCAGTCCCTGGACAGGAGTGGGTGGCCACGATCAGCAGGTGGGCGGGCATGGATGCACCCTCCTGGTACCCACTCCCCACTAATGGCACCGTGGTCCACACAGGACAAGGCTCTGCCCAGCGAGGACGGCTGTTGCCTCTCCTGCCCCCCACCCTACGAGAACCGTGAGTGGGCGGCTCTGCCGGGGAGGGGACGCGGATTCTCGCCTGCCCCGGGCCAGGGCTGACCTCTGCACACCCCCTGACCCTCCCCAGAGTCGACCTGCGCGATGCACTACCAGCTCCAGATCCTCCGGCAGCAGGACTGCAGTTCCTCCGGGCCCGTGCGCCTCGCCTACTGCCAGGGCAACTGCGGGGACACCACCTCCGTGTACGTGAGCCCGCCCCCACTCCCACCCCGCGGGGCCACCACCCCGTGCGCGTGAGCCCCGACCCCGCACTGCCCTGCGGGGGACACCACTCCCTGGGCCCCCGACCCCGCCCCACCCTGCGGGGACACCACCTCTAAGCCCTTGAGCCCCGCCCCCACCCCGCACAGAAGGCTACTGCAGGGCAGTGCTCAGTAAGGTTCAACGGGGCGCGCCCGCCGGGGGCTGCGGGGAGTACCCCCGGAAAGGGACTGGAGGGGCCAGGGGCCAGCAGGGGGCTGGGCTGGGGTCCAGGGACGGTGGCTCTTAGCCTGTTTGGAATCACACTCTTCTGTTTACTGAGAAGCCCGCTGGTGGTTCGGGAGCCTGGCGGACCCCTCCCTGCGGAGGCGGGGCTGCAGGAGGCGGGACCTCGAGGGGCGGGGCCTAGGGAGGCGGGGTCTCGCGGGGCGGGGCCTCGCGGGGCGCTGCTGAGCGGGCCCCGCCCACAGGTTCTCCCCGGAGGCGAACGCGGTGGAGCACCGGTGCAGCTGCTGCCGGGAGCTGCGCGTCTCTCTGAGGAACGTGACCCTGCGCTGCGAGGACGGCTCGAGCCGCACCCTCGCCTACACGGAGGTGGAGGAGTGCGGCTGCAAGGACCTGCAGTGCGACTCCCCCGGGGGCCTTGCCCTCTCGGCGGTGGCGCTGGAGCCAAGCCCGGAGAGCGGGCTCAGGCGCCGCGGGAGAAGGGCCCCGCGGGCTCGGCCCCTGCAGTAGAGGCCACAGCCCCGGCTTGGGCCTGGAGGCCGCGTTCCTCAACAAACCCGCAGGAACGCTTCTATTTGCTGCAAACGGCCTCCAAGGCCGGTGGAACCTGAGCCCCGGGCCAGGGAAGCCCCCCCCCACCCCCCCAACCCCTTTCGTCCCTCCCAGGGTCCAGCTGACCCCGTGCGCAGTGGCCCCAGGGGCCTGCTCAGGACCAGCCCCGCCGGCAGGGGGTAGGGAGGCTCCTCTGGCCGTGGGTCCAGCCTCCTGGCCCCAGGCCGCAGCATCACACCGGTCCCTCGATGTGGTGACCGGGGCTGCTCGGCTGGCCCCTGGGCCTCAGGAAAGGGCCAGAGGGTTTGTGAATACACTTGGAGCATTTTTCGATTCCTGGACTCTGTGTGATTTTTTTAAGCTTGTCCGTAATACCCAGGAGAGGGGCGGGGGGTCAGGCGTGGGCGCAGGGTGTGGGCCCGGGACGGGGCAGGCCTGTTGACCGGTCTTCTGTGCGCTTGGATGGACAGAGGGTGTGCACGAAGGTTCAAGGGCGGGAGTCTCCTGTGTCCGCCCAGCTGAGCCGTCAGACAGGAGGGGCTCTGTTTTCTCCCAGACCTCTGGACTCTACCATCATGCCAGAGCCTAGCTCAGTGTGCGGTGCCTGTGTGTGTGCGTGCAGGCCCAAGGGAAACCACTGCCCCAGGATTCCTGTCACCCCTTACTGTGACCCCTGACCCCCACCTGGAGAACCAGTGTTTGGAGGGGGGGCCCCCAGAGCAGACCAGCGGACAGCACGCGAATCGGGCCCACTCAGGCTGCCTTGGCTGCAAGCAGCAGGCCCAGGCTGAGCGGGTCTGGGGCCCCGAGTGCGGTGGGTGGGGTAGGAGCCAGGGCTGGCGGCCGGACGTGGCTGCAGTGTCTGCGGCCGCCACCAGGTGGCAGCACAGAGGCCTGCTGCCTCCGACAGGCCGGGGGCTCGGGAAGCAGCTGGGGGTCTCGGGGCCCAGGTCCGCGGCTTTTGTTCTCCGAGGCTGGGCCGCGTCTCAAGGCCAGCGGGGCCACGAGGACCCTGAGTGAGGGCCAGGACGGCCCTTTAAGGTCACACAGCCCCACTGGCCGGCGTCGCCCTCTCCCACCCCTTCTGCCCCGTGCTGAGCCCCGCAGCCGTGTTGGGTGTGGAGCTGACCCCGCAGGCTGGCCCTCCGGTCAGAGCCCAGGCGGGGGCCGAGGGGCTCCCGCAGCCATGACCTCATGATCCCTGGGCCTGGGGGACGGGCGGGTAGGGGGTGGACGGACGTGGCCAGGAGGTGGGGGCAGAGAGCTCACTGCCGCCTCCACGGGACGCTCCCCTTGGGAGCAGGAAGTTCCTGGTCCTCGCGGTCTGGGAGCCGCTGCCCCAGTGACCGGCTGACCCCGCAGCCACAGGCGGCACCCTAATCAGCGCCTCTGCCCCCCGAGGGGCTCAGGTGTCGGGAGCCGCCTCTTCCTCTCTGGCCGGGCTGGACGCCACCGAAGGGACTAATCCCCACCCCCCACGGAGCGCACGCCGCCCCCACCCCCGGAACTCTGACCCAGCAGCAGGAGAAACCAGATAACGGGCCCAGCCCCACCCCAAGCCCCAGCCGGGCTGTGAGGGGCTGGGCGCGGCCCACCACAGCCCCGCCTCCTCCAGGCAATGCTCGGCCCCCCACCCCCTGGGGTGCTGGGAGTGGCTCTGGGGCCGGGACTGCTTGGGGCGGCCCACCACCCCACCTCCTGGGCCCCTCCTTGGAGTCCAGCCTTGGCAGGGCTGTCGCTTCAGGGGCTGGAGTGGGAGGGGAGGAGTGGTTCTGGGTTCTGCCCCAGTCAGATGGGGGAGGGGTGTCCCCGCTCACGCAGGGGGTCAGGCTGGGTGCAGCTTCTGCCCAGATGAAGGGCTGAGGGGTCTTGGAGATGGGGAAGGAGGTGAATACGGACACAAGATGCTGGCAGCCCCCTCCTGACCTCTGCCCCTAGCACACCCACCTTACCCAGGGACACCTGGACTCCCATCCTGGCCCCAACCTTCAGGAGAGGGCTGCTTGGTCTGAGGCCAGGGGCGGGGTGCCAGCGGCTGGCTTGGTCCTGGGGACTCGCGGGCCACAGCTGCTGTCTTCTGACCCGAGCCCTGGGCAGAGGTTGGTGCTTCACAGCTGGCCCCGCAGGGACATGTGGGGCCCGGGACATCCCGCAGGTGCCTCTGTGAGTGCACATCAGACGGCTGCATGGCCGGATCTTCAGAGGAAGTGAGCAAACTGGCCGCAGGATCCGCGTGGACGTCAGTGTCCTTGGGTCTCCGGGGGTCAGTGACGACAGAGAGCAAGAGGTGCTGTGCACTGGCACAGGAAGGACCACGGTGGCCGCGGAGCCAGAGCCGCCCCTGGAGCCGCGCTGTGGGGCGGCCAGGGCCCACCCGGCCTCTCGGGGAGCCACGCCCCGTGTGGGCCTGCGACGCGGGCAGAGTGCACAGATCACCCAGATCACCCAGAATGAGGCCGCGTGTTGGTGCCACAGAAGCAAAGCAGAAACCCCCGTCTGCCGGGAGGTTGGGTGGCGTCCCGCTAAGAGGCCAGCACAGGAGGGAGGGGGGCAGAGGTGCCCCCGCGGGATTTGGCAGGGTCAGAGGTCGGCGCTGCAAGGACACAGGACAGCCTGACGTGGGTGGTGGAGGGGGCTGGAGGGCGGCCGGGCCAGGCGGAGTGGGCCTCAGGGTCACCCAGAACCAGGCCTCCGTGCTGGGTGAGGGGCACGCGGGGCGGGCAGGGGGCCCTGCCTGGTCCCCCAGACCCCCCGCTGGGTGAGGGTGGACACATGGGCTGAGGAAGAAGCCAGCTGGGGAACGGGCAGTGGGTCAGAGGTGAAAGTCCACTGGGCCAGGTGTGGAGTGTGGGTGAATGGAATGGACCAGACCCCTCCATGTGGGAGGAGGATGGGGTGGCTGAGGAGGGCCATTGGGGTGTGTGGGAGCTTGGTTGGGTCGCACTGTGTTTGACTTACTAGATGCCCGATGGAGAGGTCAGGCAGGCAGCTGGACATGAGTGTCAGGGGCCAGGGCAGGAGCCTGCCTTTGATGGACAGTAAAGATGGGAGGATCACAACAAACGGTGGAAAATTCTGTGTGCACCAGGACCCAGAGACCCCACAGAGGCTGAGCCAGTACTGTGTCTGAGCGTCTCCTGAGGGGTCCGGGTCAGGACTGGACTGCCGCAGGGGCAGGGGCTCTGGGTGCAGTAGACCTGGGCATGGCATAAGCCCTCTTGGAGGAGGTCACCGTTAACCCCACCATGAGCCGCCAGGACTTACACAGGACTGGGGAAACAGACTCTTGGAGGCACAAACAGAACCTTGTGAGCACCAGGACCCAGGAGAAAGGAGCACTGACCCTGCAGGAGACTGACCCAGACTTACCTGTGAGTGTCAGGAGTCTCAGGCCACCAGTGGGCCATCAGTGACCTGCTGCAGGGTCGGGGGCACTGAGTGGGAGTGTGTGCATGAGACATTTTGAAGGAGGTCGACATTATCTTCATCAGTCCACCACAGTCTGGCCTCAGGTCAAACAGCAGGGAGGAACACAGCCCCGACCATCAACAGAAAATTGGATTAAAGATTTACTGATGGCCCCGCCCATCAGAACAGGACCCAGTTTTCCCTTCAGTCAGTCCCTCCCATCAGGAAGCTTTCTTAAGCCTCTTATCCTTCTCCATCAGAGGGCAACAGAGTGAAAACTACAATCACAGAAAACTAACCAATCTGATCTCATGGACCACAGCCTTGTCTAATTCAATGAAACTATGAGCCATGCCGTGCTAGGGCCACCCAAGACAGATGGGTCATGGTGGAGAGCTTTGACAAAACATGGTCCACTGGAGAAGGGAATGGTAAACCACTTCAGTATTCTTGCCTTGAAAACCCCATGAACAGTACAAAAAGGCAAAAAGATAGGACACTGAAAGATGAACTCCCCAGGTTGGTAGGTGCCCAATATGCTACTGGAAATCAGTGGAGAAATAACTCCAGAAAGAATGAAGAGCTGGAGCCAAAGCAAAAACAACACCCAGTTGTGGATGTGACTGGTGATAGAAGTGAAGTCTGGTGCTGTAAAGAGCCATATTGAACAGGAACCTGGAATGTTAGGTCCATGTAAGTAAATAAGTGAAGTCGCTCAGTCGTGTCCGACTCTTTGCAATCCCATGGACTGTAGCCTAACAGGCTTCTCCCGTGGGATTTTCCAGGCAAGAGTACTGGAGTGGGTTACCATTTCCTTCTCCAGAGGATCTTCCCCACCCAGGGATCGAACCCAGGTCTCCCGAATTGTAGGCAGACGCTTTACCATCTGAGCCACCAGGAAAGTCTGTATGTTTCAAAAGATGATGTAAATCTTTTCTTAAAAACTTACATTTCTTAGCAGATGTTGAAGACTGAAATTGGGGTTTTCCCCAATTTGACTCATGTTGCTCCTTTCTTTTTGCATTATTGTTAGCATTATGTGTAACTCTCTCAATTTCTTTATGTCCATGAATCAAGGCAAATTGGAAGTGGTCAAACAAGAGATGGAAAGAGTGAACATTGATATTTTACAAATCAATGAACTAAAATGGACTGGAATGGGTGAATTTAACTCAGATGACCATTATATCTACTACTGTGGGCAAGAACCCCTTAGAAGAAATGGAATAGCCCTCGTTGGCAACAAAAGAGTTTGAAATGCAGTACTTGGATGCAGTCTCAAAAATGACAGAATGATCTCTATTCGTTTCCAAGGAAAACCATTCAACATCACAGTAATCCAAGTCTATGCCCAAACCAATAATGCTGAAGAAGCTGAAGTTGAACAGTTCTATGAAGAGCTACAAGACCTTCTAGAACTAACAGCCAAAAAAGATGTCCTTTTCATTATAGGGGACTGGAATGCAAAAATAGGAAGTCAAGAGATACCTGGAGTAACAGGCAAATTTGGCCTTGGAGTACAGAATGAAGCAGGGCAAAGGCTAAGAGTT